CGCAGGAGGTAACCAATCAATGTGTTTCTCACATCAATATTTTTCTCTCTCTTCCTCCCTCCCTTCTAGTCTATCTAAAAATCAATGAAAAAATATCTTCAGATGAGAATTAACAAAATTTTTTAAATTAAAAAAAAAAAGAAGAGCCCTGGCCGGTTTGGCTCAGCGATTGGAGCCACGGCCTGCGGTCCCGAGAGACCCGGGTTCGGTTCATTTTTCCATTTTTTGTTCAGATACAGTGGGAGGGAGGGAGAGAGAGAGAGAAACATCGACATGAAAGGGACACATCGAGTGGCTCCCAACGACACGACCCAACCAGGGCCAGGGGCAAACCGCAACCGAGGTACGTGCCCTTAGCGGGAACCGAACCCGGGTCTCTCCGGACTGCAGGCCGATGCTCTAACTGCTGAGCCAAACCAGCCAGAGTGAGATATAAATTCTTAATAATTCCATGTCTTATAATGAAATTTAATCTAAAACTTAAACATTCCAACAAAAAACCCCCACCAGATCCAGGTGGCTACACTGGTAAACGCTACCAAACTTTTCAGAAAAAAGATGAACAATTCTACAGAAAATCTTTCAGAGAAGGCAGTATAACCTTGATACCGAAAGCATCAAATACATTTCAAGAAAAAAAAAATATTACAGAACAATATCCCTTAATGCCGCAGTCCAGCTGCAGCAGGATCCGGGAGGTCCCGAAGGTGGTAAGGCATCGGTGCCGGGAGACAGATGACTACACGACTCAGAGGCAGTGTGACACTGTTCCGATTTATTGTAATTTTCTTTGTGATTATATACTTTCTGTTTTGGCATAGGTTAAGCATTTGCGGTTACAGAAGCAGAAAGTTAAGTATCATAGTCCCAGGAGGTTAGTTTCAATTAGACAGAGGGAAGGAACAGAATGATAGAGAGACTTGTTTTTGTAACAGCAAAATATTGGCACCCAGATATGGTTTTTTGATTCTTTGTCTAAGGTTATTGATTAACTTTATTCTAACCCCTATTTCTTTTCTCTTTCTCTAGATCAGCTATGTTTTGTTTAAGATCTCCAAGGAGATAAGGGCAACATTTCTTATAATATATATTTAATTGAAATAGAATAGGACATTCTTGTTTTTTGGACCGCAGGCACCAGGGAGGACCTTGGCATGCTAACTGTTTCATGAAAGGCAAACTAGTGTAAGGGACATGTAGTCTGTCTTTGTTAACTATTTTTAATCTATTTTCATTGTATACTCCTGTAAAGGGCAAGGGAGGGTCAGGAATCCTTTGTGAAATACTCCTTCTATCTGGGGAGGAGGCACAGGAGTATAGGGTGCCTCCCTTAGTTCTATCTGTTGCAATTCATCTATGACTTGTTTATTAAAGACTTTCGGGGGGAAATATCTTACCTAATTGAATTAGTAAATTGTTAAGATATTCCGGACATGCAGTGGTGACCGTTTCAGGGGAAGCTGGCATTTCTTCAGAATTTCATCGAAATGGCAAGATTTCAAGCATTTTGTTTGCTATTCCCAGGTTAGTCATTAGGTAAATCAGAATAACAATTCTTAGTATAATTCTCGTAATACCAATTAGTCCCACTCCCATGCCACGTCCTCTTCCTAGAAGATGCATGCCTTGAAGCTTTTCTCTTCGTGTCCGGACCTTGTCAGACAACGTGGTTAGAAGAGGACGCGGCACCTTAAGAATATATATGGAAAAAATTCTAAATGAACTATTATTAACAAATCAAATACAGTATTATATAAGAACTATACACAACATGGTCATGTGAGTTAATATCAGAAAGACATCATTGGCTTAATATTATCAAAAAATCATTCAATATAATATTGACAGTATGATCATCTTAAAAGATACAAAAAAGCATTTTATAAAATTCAATACCCATTTATAACAAAAACTCTTAGTTGACTAAGGATATAAAGAAACTTCTTCAATTTGACACAATTATTTACCTAAAACCTATAAATAACATCAGACTTTAATGGTGAAATAGTGAGTGAAGGCATCCTTGAAGACAAGGATGTCTGTTATCACCACTTCTATTTAGCATGATATGGGAGGTCTAACCAGTACAATAAGGAGAGAAAAATTTGAAAACTGGAAAAAAATAGTAAAACTATCTTTATTCATAAATGACATGATTGTGTACAAAGAATATCCAAGGAATCTTCAAACTGCTGGAAGTAATAAATGAAATGGCATACCTCTTTTGAAAACTTTTTGGAAGTTTCAACCAAAGTTAAACATGTACCAACCCTATGACTCAGCAATTCCATTCTTAGAACACAAGAAAAATGAAAGCATATATCCACAAAAATGACTTGTAAAGAATATAAAGCCTTCTTCATAATACCAAAAAGTAGATATAACCCACATATTCATCAATAGGAGAATGAATAAACAAATTGTATATCCATGTGTGGATGAAAAACAGGTTCTATGGAAAGTAATCTCACACACTGATCTGATCATAAATTCTTAACTGGGCGGGTCATAGTGGGTATGCACACCACAGGCATATAAATTCTTTAGTAAAAGGCCTATCTTTGCCTTAAGCAAGCCTTGTCCATAATTTCTGTATGTCTAGGTTAATACACCGTTGAAATGCCCCCTTTCAGATCCCTCCTTCTAAAGCATAAAAGCTTACCTAGCCTAATCCAATCCACCTTCATGTAATCTTCCTTGCATTCCCTCCTTAATTTCAGAGAAAAAAATCTGAGTCAAAGTTTAAAACATTTACAATTAATTTAAAAAAACAACATAAAATGTATTTGCTAAATTCAAAAGTAAGTAATTATATCACCTGGCCTGTGTGGCTCAGTGGATTAAGCATTGTCCCATAGACTGAGAGGTCCCAGTTCAATTCCCAGTCAGGGCAAATGCTCGGGTTGCAGGCTTGATCTCCAGTAGGGGATGTGCAGGAGGCGGCCAATAAATCTCTCACATCAATGTTGCTCTCTCTTCTTTCCTCTCTCTCTAAAAAATCAATAGAAACAGCCCTGGCTGGTTTGGCTCAGTGGTTGGAGCATCAGCCTGCAGACGAGAGAGACCCAGGTTCAGTTCCTGCTAGGCCCTAGCAGCTAGGGGCACGTACCAAAAAAAAAAAAAAAAATCAATATAAACATATATTTTTTAAGTAACTAATTATAAAACAGAAAATAATAGAGCATTAAAATAAGTTACATTTTATTTTATTATTTTTTTTTATCCTCACCCCAGGACATTTTTCCATTTTTGTTCAGATAGAGTGGGAGGGAGAGACAGGAAGAGAGAGAGAGAGAGAGAGAGAGAAAAACATCGATGTGAAAGGGACACATCGAGTGGCTGCTTCCCCAACCAGGGCCAGGGACAAATTGCACCCAAGGTAGGTACGTGTGCTTGACTGGAATCGAACCCAGGACTTTTTGGTCCGCAGACCGACACTCTAACCACGGAGGCAAACTGGCCAGGGGTTTTTGTTTGTTTGTTTGTTTGTTTTTTAGATTCCATTGGCTGTTGCTGTTGTTTGTACTTTGTTGCTTTATATTTGAACCATACAATGTAAACCCTTGAGAAATGATAACTACTCACTCCATAAACAATACTTTTGAGGTGAGGCCAAATAAGTCAAAACCCAGACTAGTGCTATTGGTATCAAACCATCTTGAGCAAAGTTAACTCAGGGAGTAGTGGAAGGTGAACAAAGCCGGATTGCACCAGCCACAGCCTACCTCTCCAACAACCCTGTCGAAATAGATTCCTGGGGGGAATGGGCCCTGATTGTGACCCAGCAAGTGAATTCCTATATCCGTTATATTGCCCTTTTCTGTATGATTTTATATTTGAAAATTTTAAGTTTTATATATATATGCATTTTTATCCTCCACCGGAGGATAAAACATTAGATATATGTTTATCCTATATATATATATATATTTTATCCTCACTGGAGGAAATTTTTGCATTTATCTTCAGATAGAGCGGGAGGGAGAGAGGGAGGAAGAGAGAGAGAGAAACATCGATGTAAGAGAGACACATGGACTGGCTGCCACCCACACAACCCCAACCGGCTGGGACAAACTGCAACCAAGGCACATGCCCCTAGTGGGAACCAAACCTGGATCCCTCTGGTCCATAGGCCGACACTCTAACTGCTGAGCCAAACGGGCCAGGGCTTAAGTTACATTTTAAAAGTGGATATTTTGTGGTTTTAAGTCCACATGTAATGGCGTAAGAGAAAACACTTTTTTTTTTATCCTTACCCTTGGACCTTTTTTCCAGTTTTTGTTCAGATGGGGGGGGGGGGGGAGAAACATCATGTGAAAGGAACACATCAAGTGGTTGCCACCCACACGACAAACTGCAACCAAGGTATGTGCCCTTAGCGGGAACCGAACCCAGGTCTCTCGGGACCACAGGCCGACGCTCTAACCCCTGAGCCAAACCAGCCAGGGCAAGAGAAAACACTTTTAAGAAGTATTTTTATTTTATTGAAATTATCAGACTGTGTTTTGGTCTTCTCCACTAAACTATAAGCTCCTCTAAGTAGTAACCGTAGTCCATTCTTCACTGTAGGCCAGCACCCAGCTCAGTGTGTGGGTATTTTACAGTAAATTTTCACCAGTACATATAACCAAAAAGTATCCCATCTGTGAAGTAGGGGTTAGGGTGAGGGGTGGACGAGGGACCGGGACCTCTTTGAACTGATCTCCTGAAAGGTTAGGGTTCTCCACTTAAGCTGTTGGAGCAAGACAGTTTCCCTTCAGCAGTAGGAGGTTGTCCCTTTAAGGCAAATACCAGGAAGCTCACAGTGGGTGCGGTGGGGCGGGGAGGCTGGAGAAAAGGCCTCTCTCCAGAGTGCAGGCAACTGCAGCGGAGAAACAGAGAATGTGTAAGATTGATTTTTGTCCTGACAAAGGAGGGTTCCGCCCATGCCTTATTCCCCCACCCCTCTCCGCCCCCAAAGAGGGCGGGGTGTTGGCTGAAAGAGGAGGTGCGGAAGAGCCCTTCCCCATTGGCTGCTGCTGTTGTTTGCCCTTCGTAGTTTTATATTTCTTTGAAAACAACCCAAAGCGCTGAGTAGCTTCCAGATTGAAGCTGAGCGGCCTGGTGCTGTGGGAAAGGGAGTGAAACCGGGTATGACAGCCAGTTCTCAGCTCTGGGCCTCAGGGCGGAGGCACGCGGCTCCCCTTTCACACGCACAGCAATTCCCTGTGGCTAAAAGGACGACAGAATCTGGCTTCCCCCAAGACTCTTCTTGTTACAGGATGTTTGGATGCCTCGGCCAAGGTCTGTTCTTGAAAGGTGTTAACTGATCTGTGCTTTCTGTCTTATGTCATCCTTTCTTTAGGACAGATTGCCTAGACCTAGCCTGTGAAGATCTCTGGAGACCATGACCAACAAAAGAATTGCCGTGATTGGGGGAGGCGTGAGCGGGCTCACATCTATCAAGTGCTGCCTAGAAGAAGGCTTGGAGCCTGTGTGTTTTGAAAGGACTGATGACATCGGAGGGCTCTGGAGGTTCCAGGTAAATCTTACTGGTTAATAATACATGAAACCCTTGCTGTAAGTGGATGCATGAGATATTTTATCTTTGTCAGGTAATATGATGGCCTTGACCATGATTAAATCTGCTAAAATTCAGCCTGCTGACCTCTTCTTAACAGCCATCACCTCTATTTTTTGTTTGTTATCCTCACCCGAGGACATTTTTGCATTTATCTTCAGATAGAGCGGGAGGGAGAGAGAGAGAAAAACATGGACCCCAATCGGGGCGGGGACAAACTGCAACCAAGGTACATGCCCTTGGTGGGAACCGAACCCGGGGCCTCTCTGGTCCATCAGCCAACACTCTAACCACTGAGCAAAGCCGGCCAGGACGCCATCACTTCTATATAGGTTCCTCTTTCCCTAGACTAGCAGAAAAATGGAGTACAGGTGTCATTTGTTTTTCCTTTACTCATGTCCAAGAAAATGGCACAGAGATCATTTTCATTTATTGAGTTTTGCTGCTATCCAGAAGAGCGTTACACTGGGTGGTGCAAGGTGGGGAGCAAAATAACAAACAGAAAATGTAGAGTAGTTGCTCCATGTCTGCATTAATAGGCAAGTGATGTAGATTGCCTGCTTACCACACCTTGGAGGAATTCCCCCTTTAAAAACTCTCTAACCATATTCTTTCTTTCTTTTTTTTCTCCCTTCTCTCGCTTTCTCTGTCTCTTTCTCTCTCTTGAATTCTGATTCACTTTAGATATTTTTCTCATAATCCTAGTCCTTCAGTAGAATATAAAATCTGGCTGCCTTCTTTCCTTTGAATGTTTACTTAAGAAATCAAACCTGTAAATCAAAGTTCTATCTTCAGAAGAAGGCGGAGGACACCTGCAACTGGGTTTTCTTATCATTGCAAACCACATCCCCCTTATCAAACCACACCTCTGTCATAATCCATCTTGTTATGGGCTGGAAAGCTATTAATTAGTATACAATAATCAACAGAAAATTCTAATTTTGAAATTCAGCCACAATTTAGTATAAAGGTTAACAGCATAGTCTGGGTTTGTAAACCTCTCTATACCTCTGTTTCTTCATCTTTAAGGAGATAATAATAGTACCCACTTCATAGAGTTATTTTGGGGATTAAGTGCATGAATATTTGTGTCAATCATTAATAACAGTGCCATGTACACAATAAGTGCTACATGTCAGTTATTATTCAGTAGGCCTGGAGTGATGCCCATGCATGTGGTGTTAGGTAAGCATCCTAGCCAGATTTGGCAGGTACTGACCAGGCGTGAAGTCACCAGGCCAGGGTCCATCATCCTACCTGATAATCAGGTACCTGACTTTTATCTCCAAAGCACTTTAACCTTGTTCTCTGTTAAAGACTTAACTTGGAATTTTTTTTTATCCTCACCTGAGGACATTTTTGCATTTATCTTCAGATAGAGTGGGAGGGAGAGGGGGGAAGAGAGAGAGAGAAACATCAGTGTGAGAGACATATCGAGTTGTCGCCACCCACAAGACCCCAACTGGGGCAGGGACAAACTGCAACCAAGGTACATGCCCAAACCAAACCCGGGCCTCTCTGGTCCGCGGGCTGACGCTTCAACCACTGAACCACACTAGCCAGGGCTTAACTTGGATTTTTTTTGGCAAATTTTAACACTTTGTAGACTACTTCCTTGAAAATAATAAGCTATAAGTTATATTTCATCATAACTCTCTGACTTATGTTAAGACAGACCACATCTGTGTCTACTATAATATATTATATATCATATATCATATATCTGTATGATATATACATATACTTATGTCAAAAATATGTGTTCTTTGTAACAGGTCTCAAGGATTCAGGGATTCAGTATGTTTTTTTTTTTCTTCTCAAATACCATCACTTGCATTTTCTTATCTCTGTTCTTTCTCTGTTCCACCTGCCAAAAAGGAGTAGGATTCACCACTTGCCTCCTTCTTGTTAAAACTTTCTAGTAATAATTATCCCCCTTTACCCACGGGGAATACATTTCAGGATCCCCAGTGGATGCATGAAACCATGGATAGTGCCAAACCCTATATACTGTGTTTTTTTCCTATACATACATACCAATGATAAAGGTTAATTTATAAATTAGGCACAGAAGAGATTAACAATAATAACTAATAAAGCAGAGCAATTATAATGTACTCTAAAAAAGTTATATGAATGTGGTCTCTCAAATTTACACTTAAAGGAATCATTTTATGGCTTCTCTGTGGCATATTGGAATTGCCAGCATCACTACTCTTGCACTTTGAGGTCATTATTAAGTAAAATAGGGTTCCTTCAATACAAGCACTGTGATACTGCCGACAGTTGATCTGATAACCAAGATGGCTACAACTGATTAACCTGCAGGAAGCATATACAGTGTGGATATGCTAGACAAAGGGAGAAGGTCGGAGAAGAACAGAATAAGATTTCATCATGCTAATCAGAATGGCCCAAAATATAAAACTTAGGAATTATTTCTGGAATTGGCCATTTAATATTTTCAGATCACAGTTGACTGTGAGTAACTGAAACCACAGAAAGCAAATAAGGTGGGGAATACTCTACATACAACTTCTCAAAATATTAATTGCAATCAATTTTTTTAATCCTCACCCGAGGACATTTTTCCATTTTTTGTTCAGATAGAGTGGGAGGGAGAGAGAGAGAGAGAAACATCGACGTGAAAGGGACACATCGAGTGGCTGCCACCCACATGACCAACCAGGGCCAGGGACAAACTGCAACTGAGGTACATGCTCTTAGCAGGAACTGAACCCGGGTCTCTCTGGACCACAGGCCGACGCTCTAACCACTGAGCAAAACCGGCCAGGGCAATTGCAATCAATTCTTGATCTCATCACTAATGTTAGGTAAGACTGATGGTGGAAAAGTACATTCTACTAACTCACGCTCTCTCCAGTATAAGTTCCAGTTTCACCCCATTTTTGCTAACACTGAGTAATTGTCTTTTAGAGTAGTAAAAATGAGGTAAAATGGGAACATATACTGGACAGAATTTAAGTTAGTACAGTGATTCCTGGAGAGCAATCTCATAAGTATATGGAAACTCTCAAAACTTACCTAGGTTTTGAAATACATAATAGTTGAGACTATTACTCAGATGGGCAGTTCTCACATGGAATTTCAGGCCATTGCAACCAGGTGATGACTGAGACTCTGCTCACATGTTTAGAAGTTCAACTGGGATAACTAGAATTTCTGGGAGCTGGCTGGATATCTCTCTTATCTTATACATTCTTTTCAAGTGACTAGCTTGGGCTTCCTCACAGTATGATAGCCTCAGGGTAGTTGGACTTGTCTACATGGTAGCTGACTTCCACAAGAGAAAGATTTCTAAGAGACCTAGCCAGTAGCTGCAAGGCTACTTATGACATTCTTGGAAGCCATTGAGTATTACTCCAACTGCATGCTGTTGGTCAAAAGCAAGTCTTAAAGACAGTCCAGATTCAAGGGGAAGAGACTACACAAATACGGGGAGATGTGGAAGTGTGTACAACTTTTTTAAAAATGGCATTTCTTTCAGACAGCTTTTTGAAGTGTTTATTGGCTGTTTATAAACCATGAAGTTAATTCTCAAGTGGCTATGAATGCTTCTTATGTACTGCAGGATAATCCTGAAGAAGGAAGAGCCAGTATTTACAAATCAGTGGTCATCAACACTTCTAAGGAGATGATGTGCTTCAGTGACTATCTCATCCCAGATCATTTTCCTAACTACATGCACAACTCCCAGGTCCTGGAATATTTCAGGATGTATGCCAAAGAATTTGACCTTCTAAAGTATATCCGATTCAAGGTAGGGAATTGTGTGGGTGTCTTTGTTTGAAGTTGTTTGTCAAATAAATGAATAACGTGGCTTCATTTACCAGTGCTAACATGTGAATTTTGATTTGATAGCACATGTATCTATCCTATCCAGACAGAGACTGCACTCTTTGTCTTCTCTGTGCCTAAAAAATGTTCACAGAAAGGTTCCTCTTTTATATGTTGTTGGCTGCAGCTCCAGGAGGCCACCTGCCAGAATGTTTTCATTGCTTTCATTTTATACTATTTGATTGCAATAAAACAAATGAGGGGGAATGTTTTCCAGTTAGAGAGTGGAACTGACAGGTATGGGAACTTTAAAACCCTCTGGTTCCACAACTTGTCCATTATTGCTTAGCATTTTATACTTTCTGACGTATTTTCTTTTTTTTTTTTTGGTATGTGCCCCTAGCGGGAACCGAACCTGGAAATCTCTGGTCCGCAGGCCGACGCTCCAACCGCTGAGCCAAGCCAGCCAGGGCTTTGAAGTATTTTCCAATGCATTAGTTTATGTAATCACAACAACCATTGAAGTAGTTATTCAGAATTTATTGATAAAGCAAAAAAAGTTAACTCTGGTGAGGAGGGAAGAACACTGAATTGGGCAACAAAAACTTGAATTCTAGTCTTTGTTCTATTACTAATCAACTCATGACCTCAGACAAGTAAGTTCCTCAACTTCTACTTTTCCTAATTTTCTTTTCTATAAAACAAGATGATTGGGAACAAAATTTTGAAGATGGCAGCGGGCAGGACTGAGGGAGGGTGAGTGTGTGAGAAAGTGAGCAAGTGTTCGAGAGAGTGTAAGTGGATGTGAGGGTGGAGGACCAAACCCGTGCAGTGCAGAGATGCAGAGCAGAAGGTTCCTGTGCTGTGGATAGGAGCAGCCAGCTACCACGGTAAGTGGCCCTTCAGGGCACTTCTCCTTGCGCCGCGGGAGGTCCCACCATTTTAGAAGATCCTGGGTCTTCCCTAGGAGGAGGCAGTGGGAGCGGCTAGGGCCCAGCAACCTGAGCCCACCAGCGCACCTGGCACCATCGGACCAGTGGACACTCTGTGTCAACTCAGACCGGTGCACAGTAGTGGAGCTCCCAAGGTGCTGGTCATGGAAGCTGCGGACAGCCCAGAGCCCAGCACCATCCCCCATAGTAGCAGCCCAATCAGAGTCTACATATACCCCCAGCAACAGAGGCTGGGGAGCAGACATCCATCCCCAGGCAACAGAAGCACAGACCACCAGCTGAGACCCATCCCCCAAAACTACAGCAAAAGCTGAGCAGGAGTTGAGCCCCACGGAACAGCAGCGCTCCCCAGCCGCCATTCATGGACCTGGGGCTCTGCAGAGGCCTGTGTGGTCCAGTAGCTCACAAGTACAGTGGGAAGCCAGAGCCCTAGAGAGACTGGTGCGATCCAGCTGCCTGCCACCTGTGGGAACTGCATGGTGCGGGGGCACCAGGGAGGCCTATGAGACCCAGCAGGGACTGTGCGATCCAGTTACCTGTGAGACCTGCAGGGTGCTGAAGCTCCAGAGAGGCCTGTGCGACCCAGCAGGGACAGTGCCATCCAGTTACCCTCGGGATGTGCGGGGTGCTGAAGCACCAGAAAGGCCTGTTCAACCCAGCAGCCCATAACATAGGCATAGAACTGGGTTCCCAAAGAGACTGTGCGATCCAGTTACCTGCGGGACCTGCAGGGTGTGGGGGCACCAGGAAGGCCTGTGCAACCCAGCTATGCACAAGATAGGCATAGAGGATGTGAAAATGGAGGCGGAGTGAATAGAAGCTACGCAGATGATCTCCCAGGACCAAACGGGAATTACAACTAAAATAAAGACGAATCCTCAGAAAAAAGCAACAGAAAAGCAGCAGGACAGGACCATATAACCATGGACACTGGTAGGATCTGCGGAGGTGCGAGAGGTTGGTGGGCTGGGAGCCCACATACAGCAGCAGTCTTAGCTGTGAGCAGCACCCTTGGGGAATAAAGACCAAGCCCACTCCACAACCCAGAGAACCAGGACAGAGTCCTAAAATAGCCACAGCCACTCACCTGGGGGCTACGGCAGAGGGAGGATAGATTGGGCTGGAACTCTGTGGGGACACCTGGGATTTGGAGGGCACTCAGAGTTTTTGCTGAGTTGTGGCCACAAAGGACGGTGGCCAGTGTGCTCCTTCCCAGAGCTGTGGGGAAAAGCAGCAGCCCCCACATCGGAGATTCAGCCTTTCCCAGGTGAGGCAAGGAAATGCAAATTGAGGCTCATTAACAACCAGCATCTATCCCACCCTCTGGAAATCCTCTTATGCAGAACACCAGGGCTACACTGAGTAACTGACAGGAAAAAGGTAGAGGATAACTGAACCCTTCGTGGGCTTGCAGATTTACCCAGGAAAGTAAGACTTGACAGTGGTATGTAACATGGACCCACCCAGGCTCATCCAAACCCAGTAGAGGGAGCCACAAACAGCAGAACACCAACAACCACAGGGAAAATTTGGCAGGCTCCAAAACCCACTGAGATAGCCAAAATAGTGAAACAAAGAAACAAATCCCAAATGAAAGAACAAGATAACTCTATGGAAGATGAGATCAATAAAATGCAGCTAAGCAAATTATCAGAGGTAGAGTTCAGAGCCATGATCTTGAGGAAACTCAACACCATGAGTAAGGACATCAGCACCATGAGTAAAGATATAGAAACACTAAAAACCAACCAAGTGAAATGAAGAATGACATAGGAGAAATTAAGAACACATTGGAAGGACTAATCAGCATAGTAGAGGAAGCTGAGGACTGGATCAGTGAATTAGAAGACAGGGTAGAAAAAAATCAACCAATCAGAAAACCAAGCCCTGGCCGGTTTAGGTCAGTGGTTAAAGCGTCGGCCCACAGTCCAGAGAAAACCAAAAGAAAAAAACTATTAAAAAAACAGGAACTTAAGAGAACTGTGGGACAACAGGAAACGTAATAACATTCGCATCATAGGAGTCCCCGAAGAGGAAGGAAATGGGCACGGGTTAGAGAATATATTTGAAGAAATAGTGACAGAAAACTTTCCTAACTTGGTAAAGGAAGAAGGCATTCAAGTTCAAGAAGCACAGAGAACCCCAAGTAAGAAGAACCCAAACAGGCCCACACCATGACACATAGTCATTAAAATTCCAAAAATTAAAGACAAAGAGAATCCTAAAGGCAGCAAGAGATAAGCAACAGGTTACCTACAAAGGAAACCCCATAAGGCTATCAGCTGACTTCTCAACAGAAACACTACAGGCCAGAAGGGAGTGGCATGAAGTAATCAAGGCCATGAAAAACAAGGATCTGAATCCAAGACTACTCTGTCCAGCAAGGTTATCATTCAAAACAGAAGGTCAAATAAAGAGCTTTCCAGACAAAAAAAAAAAAATGCTAAGGGAATATATTAACAACAAACCAGCACCGCAAGATATGCTAAAAGGACTGCTGTAATTAGTAGAAGAAATAGGAAGAAAAATATAACCACACTAAACAAAAATGGCAATAAATAAGTACATATCAATTATTACCTTAAAAGTGAATGGTTTGAATGCTCCGATAAAAAGACACAGAGTAGCTGACTGGATAAGAAAGTATGACTCACATATATGTTATTTGCAAGAAACCCACCTCACAACAAAAGACTCACATAGATTGAAAGTGAAGGGATGGAAAAAAATCTTTCAAGCAAAGGGGAAGGAAAAAAAATCTGGGGTAGCAATACTCATATCTGATAAAGTAGATTTCAAAATGAAAACAATAACTAGAGACAAAGAAGGCACTACATAATATTGAAAGGATCTATCCAACAGGAAGATATAACCTTGATAAACATATATGCATCCAATATAGGAGCACCAACATATATTAAAATTCTTTTGGAGAACTTCAAAGGAGAAATCGACAGCAATACAATCATAGCAAGGGACTTCAATACCCTGCTGACATCACTGGATAGATCTTCTAGACAAAAAATTAGCAAGGAAACAGAGACTCTAAATGAAACGCTAGATCAAATGGATTTAATAGATATCTACAAAGAATTACACCCCAAAACTACAGATTTCACATTCTTCTCAAGTGCACATGGGACATTCTCAAAGACAGACCACATAACAGGACACAAACTAAATCTCTACAAGTTCAAGAAGATTGAAATCATATCAAGCATCTTCTCAGATCACAATGGCATGAAACTAGAAATCAATTGCAACAAGAACATGCAAAGACATTTGAACACATGGAGGCTAAATAGCATGTTATTGAACAATCAACGGGTTACCATGGAGATCAAGGAAAAAATTAAAAACTTCCTGGAAACCAATGAAAATGAAAACACAACAACACAAAATCTATGGGATGCAGCGAAAGCAGTTCTGAGAGGGAAGTTCATAGCACTACAGGCCTACCTCAAGAAGCAAGAAAAATTTCTGATACACTATCTAAGCTCCCAACATAAAGAACTAGAAAGCAAACAAAAAGAAAATCCCAGAGCAAGTAGAAGGAAGGAAATAGTAAAGATCAGAGCAGAAATAAATAACATGGAGACCAAAAAACAATTCAAAGGATCAATGAAACAAAGAGCTGGTTCTTTGAAAGGATAAACAAGATTGATGGACCCTTAGCTAGACTCACCAAAAAACAAAGAGAGAGAACCCAAATACACAAAATCAGAAATGAAAGAGAAGAAATAATAAGTGATACCACAGAAATACAAAGGATTGTTGACAAATATTGTGAACATTTGTACGGCAACAAATTCGACAATCTAAGCAGAATGGACAAATTTCTAGAAACACATAGTCTCCAAAAACTGAACCGGGAAGAGATAGAAAACTCGAACAGACCAATAACAACAAAAGAAATTGAAGACGTAATCAAGACTCTCCTAGTAAACAAAAGCCCAGGCCCGGACAGCTTCATGGGGGAATTTTACCAAACATTTAAAGAAGAACTAATACCCATTCTCCTCAAACTGTT